CTGTTGAGATAAAGAGTATGCATATATATTACTTGTATTGAGATAAAGAGTATGCATATACATTACTTGTGCTGTGTGTTACATACATCGAGTGTTAGATATAATGTAGATTTGTAAAGACAATCACTTTTCTTTGTGGGGAAAAAGGGGCCGGGGGGGGGGGGGGGGGGTAACCCTAGATAGTATATTTCTTGTCTGCCGCTAACGAAAACAACGTATTACTGTAGCTTATTTTACACGTGCTTTTACATTTCGTCTCCGGATACTCATGTGAAACCAAGTTTAATAAATATAGATATCACTAAAGGCCTCTAAATGGCAAATTAATGTTAGGTCTATTAAAGTATAGCACATATTGTAGGCTTTCTATGAGTATGGCATTTAATATCGACTGTCTGGAAATATGGTGATCTCATCTTCTGTCAACAGTCGACCGATCTTTATAATTATGGTCTAACAACCAAACGCCATGGCCGTCAAAGGGTCCTTTATTTTAGCTATTCTAGATATTTGGAACGGACTGCTGGCTCTTCAAAAATGTCTTCTTTTATTATAACTTTCACAGTGGAACTAATAAACGTGTGGAATGGAAATCTGTGAAGACAGGACCCACTCTGAGAACCGTTGTTTTGACCCCATCAATCCTCAGTCGTCGCTAATTCCAGACTTAACCATTACCTCTCACACCTGTTCAGGGACAATAGTAAATGAGATCGTCGGCAGACGGTTAGGGATGCGGGATCTCAACAGCTGTTGACAGACGCATGCTAAAAAGGCAGCAGATGAGTGCTAGACATTCCAGATAGATGTCGCGATAAAAGAGGACAGCGATAGACGAGCTAGGGGAGCCAGCGGATAATGAGAAAATAAAAACTCGGGAAAGTTGGAAAGTTGATATGAGAAGAAGGTGATGTCTGACAAATAGAGATAAAAGCAGTCAGACGAACGAGTGTGACGAAGTGCAAAGATAGTGAACTGGGTGTTAGGGAGAATCCAGTGATGATCACTAGATAGAGGATGTGTAATCTAGGCATACAATAAAGAGACAGGCAAAGAGAGGGAAAAGGCCAGAAGAGGGCCTAGCAGAGAAAGGAGTCAGAACCTGAGGAAGACACAGATTAAGAAATGAGGGGAAGAGCGCGCGAAAAAGGTATAAGAATGGTAGAGAGAGAGAGGAAAGGCTAGGGAATAATCGAAGAGTGTGCGTGTGTATATGCGTGTGCGTGCGTTTGTTTGTTTGCGTGTGTTTGTGTATGTGAGCTAGAGGATTATAGAGAGAAGGAGAAAGTGAGCAAAACAGAGAGCGCAGGGTAGGTAGCAGGAAAGAGGGCGCGCGAAAAGAAAAAGAAACAGTGAAAAAGAGAGAGTATAGGATGGAGATGCGAAAAGCACCTGGCAGCTTCCCGGTTGGGGGAGGTGAGGGGAGAGCGATAGGGTGGAAGACAGATTTAAGAAATAAACGGAGGTAGCGTTAGGAAAAAAACCTCATCGGTACCGGAACTCTGCTCTCGCTGCTAAAGATGGGGACCAAGCACTTATGGGATTGTCTTTAGTACTGTGATCAGAAACGTTTTTTTCAGGCGGTATGCATCGGCACGCAATACATGCATCTCCTTGTTTTTTAGGCACTACTGTAATAGACTCTTATGGTGAGTACTAGCACCTTTTTTTTCTTTCTCTTTGACCTTCTAGAAAGAATCCTGATTTAGACTTCCCATTTATTTTACACTTTATTTCAACGACTATTTTGTATAAAGGGTTCTCTCAGAAAATCGGCTTCTTCTTCTTCTTCTTCTTCTTCTTCTTCTTCAGCATTCCGAGCCCTTGAGGTTCATTGCTGCAGATATCACTTGCCTCCACTCACCTCTTTGATTGGCCTTCTCTTTTCACCTGGTATCACCAAGTGTTTTTTTTAGGTGTGTCTGGACACGCACGTTTGGATAAATTTTAGAAATTTGATTTGCAAAACCTGTAGTTTATAAAATGAAAAATGTGCAATAAATTCCTGTCATTCGAGGTTAAGCAAAGTATTCGTGCAGTTTATGTCGAACCAGTTTCATAGCTCTGAATTCAGGACAATTAATTAGGAAACTAAAGAGACGCCTGAAGCTTCATGGGCATGATTATACGACTTTATACGTGATATCTTATAGCAATATAAATGGGTCATTGAAATGTTTGAAACAAGATACGATTATAGCCTGAACTGATGGAAGAATTTGAGAAAATACAGGCAGTTAAAAAAAGAATACTTTTATAGGGCCTAAAAAGTGATGATGTGAGAACAAGAGAGGCCCAAGCAGAAGATGAAATGATGATGCACTTTTAAAGAAATGATACATCCCCACAGAATGACTGCTGTCAGTGATATCCATCAAGTGCCGGACCGAAAACTGTTCATATTCACGACTCCTAATGTTGGATGTTGTATGTCGAATTAAGAGTCGACATTATAGCACTCGGGACACTCCCATAAACTCTCCACCCTTAACTTCCGCAGCAATCAGAGAGTCCCATACTCTTAATGTCAAAAGTGGAAGTTAGTTGTGATGATGGATATGGTAATGATGATGATGATGGATGTGGTGATGATGATGATGATAATGGGTGTGGTAATGATGATGATAATAGATGTGGTAATGATGATGATGATGGATGTGGTGATGATGATGACGATGGATGTGGTAATGATGATGATAATGGGTGTGGTAATGATGATGATAATGGGTGTGGTAATGATGATGATAATAGATGTGGTAATGATGATGATGATGGATGTGGTGATGATGATGACGATGGATGTGGTAATGATAATGATGGATGGGGCGATGAGGTTTATGGATGTGGCGATGATGATGATGGATATGACAATGATGATGATAATGGATGTGGTAATGATGACGATACATGTGACGATGATGATGATGGATGTGGCGATGATAATGATAACAGATGTGGTGATGATTGTAATAATGGATGTGGTGATGAAGATGATGATGGATGTAGTGATGATGATGATGATGGGTGTGGTGATGATGATGATGTTGGCTCTGTGGCTAAGTCGATGCGAAAGCTTCGTAATGCCGTGGTGCCGGGTTCGATCCCAGCTGCGGGTCATGCACCTTGCGTTGGTTTCGACAGTGGTATCAGGGGGCCGACCGTCCAGTAAGCAATGACAAACTACTGAACGTAAATTTGCCTAAAGAAACTAGACAACAGTCACGGGCTGCTGGGGTTGGTTCTGCAACGTCTTGTAAAGGATACGCAACTAACAAGTAACAAAAATGATGGTGATGGATGTGGTGATAATAATGATTATTTACGTAGCGATGATGATGATGGATTTGGCGATAATGATGATGATAGATGTAGTGATGATGATGGCTTTTGTAATTGCAGGATGTAAAAGTCGGTTCTAGGCGAGCATTATGTAAACATCGAACGAACGAACAAACTTTATTTTCAAAGGGTCACAAACTGAGTACTAGTGCCAGTCTTGCATTCTTTCATTGTAAACACTCCTCCTTCACAGAACTATTAAAACACTAGTGGACAAAACAAGTGGACAACACTAGTGGACGACACTAGTGGACGACACTAGTGGACAACACTAGTGGACAACACTACAACACTAGTGGACACCACTAGTGGACAACACTAGTGTACTACACTAGTGGACAACACTAGTGGACATCATTAGTGGACAACACTAGTGGACAACACTAGTGGACAACACTAGTGGACGAACACTAGTGGACGACACACTAGTGGACAACACTAGTGGACAACACCAGTGGACAATAGAAGTGGACAACACAAGTGGACGACACTAGTGGACGACACTAGTGGACGACAACACTAGTGGACGACAACACTAGTGGACATCACTAGTGGACATCACTAGTGGACATCACTAGTGGATATCACTAGTGGACCCAAAAACTAGTGGACACTACAACACACTAGTGGACATCACTAGTGGACAACACTAGTGGACATCACTAGTGGACAAAACTAGTGGACGACAACACTAGTGGACAACACTAGTGGACAACACTAGTGGACGACACTAGTGGACATCACTAGTGGACAACACTAGTGGACAACACTAGTGGACGACAACACTAGTGGACGACAACACTAGTGGACAACACAAGTGGACGACAACACTAGTGGACAACACTAGTGGACGACAACACTAGTGGACATCACTAGTGGACATCACTAGTGGACAACACTAGTGGACACTAGTGGACACTACACTAGTGGACATCACTAGTGGATATCACTAGTGGACAACACTAGTGGACAAAACTAGTGGACGACAACACTAGTGGACAACACTAGTGGACATCACTAGTGGACAAAACTAGTGGACGACAACACTAGTGGACAACACTAGTGGACAACACTAGTGGACAACACTAGTGGACAAAACTAGTGGACGACAACACTAGTGGACAACACTAGTGGACAACACTAGTGGACAACACTAGTGGACAACACTAGTGGACAACACTAGTGGACAACACTAGTGGACATCACTAGTGGACAACACTAGTGGACAAAACTAGTGGACGACAACACTAGTGGACGACAACACTATGGACATCACTAGTGGACACTACAACACTAGTGGACAACACTAGTGGACAACACTAGTGGACAACAACACTAGTGGACAACACTAGTGGACAACACTAGTGGACGACAACACTAGTGGACAACACTAGTGGACAACACTAGTGGACAACACTAGTGGACAACACTAGTGGACGACAACACTAGTGGACAACACTAGTGGACAACACTAGTGGACAACACTAGTGGACGACAACACTAGTGGACGACAACACTAGTGGACAACACAAGTGGACAACACTAGTGGACAACACTAGTGGACAACACTAGTGGACAACACTAGCTGAAGAAGGAGACATGGATTTGAGAATTAGAAGACAGAGAAGCCCAGTTAACGGAAATAAACAGAACGACAAACT